TGGGAACTCCGAGTCCCCCCGGACTCCCCGCCCCAAAAGAAAGCCCGGCCCTCTCAGAGGCAGTTGGGGAGTCCTTCCAAAGCTGCTCACTGCAAAGCACTGAAGCCCACGTCAAGCCCTCTGGCCTCAAAGCAAGCCTCTCTGACTGGGCCGCACCTGATCCTGGGGTCCCACCTCCCTTCAGTGCACCTCTTAGACTCTCCCCATCTCACTCAGGGCAGGGGGGTCCCAGTTTCTGGCCCAAGGGGACCAAAGAGAGCTTAATGGGTCTTGCAGCTGCGGTCTAGTGGTCGTCCAGACCCCTGCACCCAGGCATGGTCCCCCCAACCCCCTTCACTAGCCAGGAGGAGCAAGGCTGCAGCCACCATCCTCATCTCCAGGGGCCAGGGCAACTGGCTGGGGGTGGGCAGCAGCAGCTTTTCCTTTCCTAAAAACTCAAGCACCTCCCTGCCTTCTAGCGGCTGCCTGGATTTCGGGTAGTCCCTCCCAAGGCACAGGCGGCAACGGGGAGTCCCCTGCCCTTGCGGGGCCAGAGGGCCATCTCCCCCACTCTCACGCCTCTCTGCAGCAGTCTCTGTCCTTCTGCAGACAAGACTCGGCTGGGCTTCCTCCCTGGGCACTCTCCACCTTCCCGCAGGCCTCGTGCCAGAGGCTTGCCTCTTGTGCTCCAGACTGACCTGGGCAACCATGCTGGTCACGTCTCCGGTGTTGGTGGGCAGGAGGACGGTGTTGGACTCCTTTGCCAGCTGGGAGAAGGCCTGCACGTACTGCTCAGCCACCGACAGAGAAGCCGCCATGTTGCCATTCTGAGAAGAGAAGCAGCCAGGGTGAGCAACCAGGCCACTGGAGGAGAGGGTTTGGGGACGGGCCTTCCTCACCTTCTCCCCCCAGCCTTTCAGAGAGATTGCCCAGGACCCCTCAAAGTCACCATTTAGCTTGTAACAGAAATCCTGTCTCTTCCTCTCCCAAAGCAGGATAGATAGGCTCCTCCTTCATAAAGCTTACTCAATAAACTAGCATTGTTCACCCACTTTTTCATTTCTGCCTAGAGGACAATCAAGGCTATTATGCTTAGACCCCAGCAAGTAGGTCTGTATGCCCAGTGAGTGAATATAAGCAGAGGAGGGCCTCCACCCTGGCAGTATCCAGGCCTCCTGTTTCCCCCAAGAGAGGGCTGATCATACATGGTGCTACCACCCCACCGGAACAGCCTCCTTCCCACCCAGAGACCTTTAATCCAGACCTCCCCATCGGCTCCTATTCAGAGGAAACCTTTGGAGGGGTGCAGCAGCAGGACAGAGATTTAGAACCAGAGGGCCCTCCAACAGAGACAGTTCCCCCACCCCCTTTTTTTAAAATTTATTAAATTTATTTATTTTCAAATTTGTATGCCGCCCATCTCCCCCAATGGGTGACTCTGGGCGGCT